GAAGTGACTGGGGCCAGTAAAAAGAACAACAGCCTTGCTGCTACACCCTTACAGCCCACCATCAAAGCCAAGAGGAGGTTCCTGGGACCGACCATCAGAACCCTGAGAGTCGGACAGTCATGGGCGAAGGGGCAAAAGAGTTGGCAGGTGTTGATGGCCAAGGAGACAGTGCTGCAAGACACAGGCTTCCAGAGGCCCTCCACCGGAACCAGGGCTCTCTCCTGCCACTGCTGCAGTCTTCCAGGCTCTCTCTCCAAGACAGAACTGACACACACCTCCCAGCCTCAAGGAGACTGCTGACCTTTCTTTCAGGGCAAGGAGCGGATCCTGTGGGTCAGCAAGCAGTCAACAGGCAACTCCGGCCCATCCTTGTGCTAGCTGTGCCAAAAGAGCCAAGAGACTACCACAGGGGAGGGATGCGACAAAGCTGTGGTGGAAAGCAGCTGGTTTTCTGCCCTAGAGACCCAGCAAGGCGACCGGGCAAGGGACAACATGTGGTCCCACAAGGGAGTGGGCAGAAGCCAACCGGTGTATCAGCCGTACCTGCAGACAGAGCGAGGCACCTCCCAACTAATAACGGCTTGAGCTTGGGGGGGGGGGCAGAAGGGGTGAAGACCCTCCCCCCCCCAAATCTCACAGGAGAGGAAGAGGGGAGGCACAGTAGCCAGCTGTGGGGAAACGAAATCATCTCGTGAACTGAAGGCACCAAATTAGGAAAAGAGGCAAAACAACAAAAAACCTGCAGAAGTAGATGCCAAAGAGGGAGGCCGTACAGCCACCCATGCAACGGGCCCTGCAAGACTCCAGCAGCGTAACCTGGGAAGTGGTTACCAAGCTCCAGGTTGGATCAGACTGTTAAGCTCCAGCCGTTAACGGTGCTTCCCTCCTTTTTCCTACAGACAGAACTGCTCTGATCCGTAATCTACAAACTGTCTTTTCTCCCGAATGGGCATGGGCACTAGGGATGAGGAAGAGCGGAGTGATCTAGGGGAGGGAGCATCCGCCTGCGCCAGCCCCAGCCCCAGCAGGGTAATGGTGTACGTCTGAAGTCACCATCGGTGGCGACACCCCCACCCCTCCCCCCTCCCCAGTTGGACTACAGCGCTACTCGCAAGTAAAGAGAAGCAACGTTCAAATACAAGAGAGTCCGGGGGTGTGAGAACGGGGGAGATGACCAGAGAAAAGCAGAGAAGGCAGGCAGGGCGAAGGGAAGAAGAAAGCCGATGAGCGGCGAGAGAGGGAGGGTGGAAGGAGGGGGAACAAGGGAAGAGAGGAGGGAGGACAGGAAGAGGGAGGAGGGACGGGAGGAGGGGAAGACGGGGAGGGAGGAAAGAGGAGGGAGGAGATGGAGGGAAGGATCTGAGGACCCAGCGGGCTTTGCACTCACCCGTGTTGTACACGTGCAGTTCGTCCACTATCCCTTCGTTGCCGCCGCCGAACACCACGATGAGCTCCTTGATGGCCACGGCGCGGTGGCCGTGGCGGGGTCGGGGCACCGGACCCGACCAGCCCACCACTCGCTTCCAGCGGGGCTGCAGGAGCACCGCGGGCGAGTTGGCGGGCGACACGGCCGAAGCCATAGTTCCGGGAAAGGGTGCGATGGGAAGAAGTCACCAAGCGGGAAGGGAGACCCTCAATTTCTCACACACACCCCCTTTCGTCTAAGGCAGCTCTCACGGAGAAGCGGTTCCTCACACAGCGGTGGACGACTCCATGGAGGCCGCCATCTTAACTACCCTCCTTCCCTCTGGCTCTTCCCCTTCTTCTTGCTCACCCCGTCTCTTCAAGAGCTTCCCGAAACTGTCGAGCACCTAGGCCTGAGAAGTTGAAGGCCACTGAGTCCCGCCGCCCCGACTATTTGCCCGGCTACTCCCGCTTACAAGCTCGGGCGGGAGGCTCTGGGAGCCGCCATCTTGAGCCGCCTCTCTCTCCTCCCTTCCTCAGTCGTAGCCCTCCCCCGCCGGAAATGGCGGAGCCCCGGCCCGGTTCCCACACCCCCAAGTCCCTAGCACTGGCCGGCTTCCGGGGCGGGTGGAAAGGAGCCACAAGCGCCGCGGTCGTCCCAGCCCCGCCGGCGCTCAAACCACAATTGTGGGAGCCGCCATCTTGAGCCCGTCCCGCTTCCCCGCCCAGCGATTAGTACAGCAGCCGCTCCCGAAACAGCCTCGACAGTCCTAAAGAATGGAGGCGCGTCAGAGGCCGGTGAAACCGGCTCGAACTCTCGGGGGCTGCTCGGGAGCCCGCGCCGTACAGTTCGTGAGGTCTCGCACCTCTCCCTTGAGTCCGCCTCTGCTGCTCAGGCTTCGCCTGCCGCCCTGGGAGCCGCCATCTTGAGACTAGCTCCCCCTTCCCCCCTATTCTCTTCCTCCTGGGTCAGTTCTTCCACTGCAAACGAAACGCAAGGCAGCGTCCAATCCTTGCTTCCCTCCTTATGACTCCTTCCCACAGGAGCCGCTCCAAAGAGCCAGAGTTAGGCCCCGGAGTGGCAACTGTACGGCAGAAAAAGCGGTAACGGCAGGGCGCTCATGCCTCCTCCCTGGGAGCCGCCATCTTGTGTGAAGAAGTAACAACTAAACATGGCGGCGGCGGTCGGGCGAGGGGGCGGGGCTTATGACGTCACCGCTCCCCCGCCCGCGCACGGCTACGCCTCTGGCCTCAAACGGCTTAAAGGACCCCTCCACTGCCTTGAGACTGGGAAGCCGGTGCAGATACGCAGTCGGCTGCAGCTGGGCCCGAGTCAGGTGCAGACGCTCCCCGCCCTACGGCCCCCCCGCCCCATGCGCGCCTCCACGCCTCCGCCCTGGGAGCCGCCATCTTGCCACTTCCCCTCGCCCGGCCGTCCGCGGGCGTCAATAGCGACTTTCAGCACAAAACAAAGATGGCGGCGGCGTCTGGGAAAGCCCGGATGAGAATACTAACTCCCTCAGACGCGCTCAGCCCCGCCCCCCCTGGGAACAGTGTCCCGGGTCGATTAAGGAACACATGCCCGAGGAGTGGCCTTTAACTAGCAGTGGGACATGGGCACGTGTTAAGGGTAGCAAAGGAGACACTGCAGTTGTGCCTGCAGTGGGAAGCAGCCGTTTCCCCGCCCCGTACATTGGGAGCCGGGGGCGGGTCAAGAGTGGGCGGTGATACAGCTGAGCGCACGGCGCACAGGGGCGGAGCCGCTGCCAGCTCCCAGGCTCCCAGGCTCCCAGGCTCGGGAGCTCCGCCCCCGGGCGCGGGCGCCGCCGCCGCCGCCGCCGCCGCCGCCGCCGCCGCCGTCGCCCGCGCCCAAGCAAATAGAGCCAGGCCGCGCGCCCACAGGCCTCCGTCCCAGCCCTGCCGGCCGCAGGGCGGGCAGGCGGACCGAGGGCTGCCAGCCGGGAGGGCGAGCCGACGGGCGCGGGAGCGGCCCGCGTCACTCGCGTCATTCGCGTCATCCTGCTCCGCCTGCTTCCCAGGGCTCCATACCCCGCCCCATGCGCAGGCGCAGGGCTGCTTTTCGGGTCCGCCCTTTTTCTCGATTTGAATTTGTCCCAACCTAGCGAGAGAGGCAAAAATACCCGGATGGCGATCCCTGGCCTTTTCGCGCCAATACTGTGAGTTCTCACAACAACCTTGAAAGGTGGGTACTGGCATCACCCCCATGATTCAAGTCTTCCAGGAGGCCGCCTGGGCACTGCGATGTCATCACTGCTACATGTAGGCTGTAGCACAGGTGTCCTAAGCATGTGTCCTAGAGCCTGGAATGCGAACAGATGATGACTTCTTCACCTTAGTTCGTCTGTCATTTTTATTTTCACTAACCTCTAGTCGAATTTGGCATTTCCTGAAATTACAAATGTGAGAAACAGCACAGAGCATTAGCTCTGTGACTTTGTCACCAAAGGAAATGGACAGATCATTTCAGGTCCTTTAGCTTATTTTTGTAGCAGTCTAAAAATTAAACCAAATTGCAACATCTAATAACGGGCTGAATAATTACTAATTTGAAGTTACTCTATTCAGCCTAGAGTCAGATCTCTAATTTAGCATGTTAGTAAAGAAGCACATATATTACCTTATCCTTTTTCAAAAATACTGTAATCTTTTTACATATTAAATTTATTTGGCAATTCTCTATGTTTTAGTTTTGCGATTAGAAGCATTTACTTGAGAAAGGCCAAAGAGGCCTGTGGCACAGTCAAAGGATAAGAGCCCCTGCATATATGGCTGTGCCACCAACTGTCCTATGTGGCCTTGGTCATTCACCACCTCTCTAGCTCCAAACCCTCCCCTGAAAAGTAAGGAAGCAGAGGGGCTGTTTTACCAGGGTGTTGCCTGAATTCAGTGTGTATCTTCCCCCCAAATTCAGAACTACTGTAGTTGTTCTACGCTGCTTTGTGCTTACAAGTGGCTCAGGTCTTCCTCACCTGCTGTGGGCATCTCATGTCCCAAAATCTGCAGCAAGACAACAAAGGAGGGTCTTGGGGGCACAAGAAACAGTTGTCATAAATGCTGCGACAAAGAAGCTACCTGGAGGCAGCAGTGGCTGTTGCTTAACTGCATACAGCCACAGGAAGCAGGAGAGTCTAAGGAACATTTGTTTGGTGGAGAAAGCCCCTTAGCTGGGAGATTGTCATATTTAGCTGGACGTGACACACACCTATAATTCCAGCATTGGGGAGGCTGAGGCAGGAGCATCTCAAGTTTGAGGCCAGCCTGGGCTACACAGTGAGACCCTGTCTCAAAAAAAAAAGGATGTCACAATCAATCAGTTTGTAGGACTTTCCCAAAAGACTGCAGACCCAAGGACCAGTGCTGTTGAACCATCTGCCTTTAGAAGCCAGGTGCCAGGGGAAGCTGTGAAGAAGTGCATGTCACTTTCAGCTTGGACTCAGGTGGACTCTGCCCCTCTAGCAGGAAAGAAGAGTTGCTCTCCACACCCTTCCTGGAGTGCCTCCTCTGTCAAGTTGACGGTGTTTGACTCCTGTCCCCTGCTTGCGAGCAGACAGGAAAGTCAGGCTAGTTTGGGCACCATGGGGTCCCAGATGGGGGCAGGGAAGGACCTAGAGACACAAGGTTGTGCTTCAGCTTATGTCCCAGTTGGAGTCAGGAGCCTTATGGAGAAGTGTTTGGTGAGAAATGACAGAAGTTGGTGTCAGCAGGGCAGAGGCAGTGAGTAGGCACAGAGGGCACAGGGCTTCTAGAACTAGTCTTGCTGTGGCTGGAAGACACAGTTGGCCCCACGGAGTTTATAGGGCTAAATGTGGTTGGCCAAGAGTCTGGAGCCTAGTCCAGGAGTACTTGAGAAAGATGCTGAGGGCCCATTGTGTGCAGACCATATTAGTGGTAGCTTGGTGGTGAGAAACACAGGGCAGAGTGGCCCTCAGACCTGGAGGCTCCTTAGCTGGGGAGAAGGGAGGGGATGAGTCCAGGGTGCCTCATGCTGAGTAGCAGGGAGATCTAGATTCTGGGTGAGGGCTTCAGTAACTTGGTGGAAATGATGAGTTTGACAGGTCAAACTGGATTTGGTGGGCCTTACCACAGACTCCCAAGAAAGCTTAGCCTGAGGCCCAGCAGGCCTGTCCCCCAAAGGATCCAGATAGGCCCACAGGACTTGCCTGACAAGCAAAAGAGCAAATAGGAGTGGGGAAAGTGTAAGGTGTGGCTTTGTGTTTTAATGTAGTTTAGTGAAACTTGAGCAGGTGGAGGGGAGCAAACATTCAGACCCTGCTCTACCATTTTGGGGCCTAAACAGCAGGAGGGAAGGTAGACATTGTGCATCAGAAATACATAGTACTTGGGATAGAGGTGTGGCTCAAATGGTAGAGCTCCAGCCTCGAAAGTGCAAAGCTCTGAGTTCAAACCCCAGTACTGCCAAAAAAACCCAGCACTCACCAGACATGGCAGTGCGTGGCTATAATCCCAGCACTCAGGAGGCTGAGGCAGGAGGATTGAGAATTTGAGACCAGCTGGGCTACATACTGAGATCCTGCCTCAAAATGAAACAACAGAAAATACAAGGAACTAAGGGATCTACATATAAAAACATGCGGCTGGCATTACATCCCAGTAGTAGAGCACTTGCCTATATGCATGATGTGCTGGGTTCCATCCCCAGCACCTCAACAAAAAAAGGAAAAGAAAAGAGAACCAGTTGCATGCACACAGCCACTCTGTGGGGAAGGTACTGTTAGTTTCCACACTTTGTAGGTGAGCAAGCTGAGGCCTAGAATGGTTCTGGCCCAAGGTCACGTGGCTAATAAAGTAGGAAGGCAGACAGTCTAGTATCAGAGTAAGGGGAACTTGAGGGCCTTCCTTCTCTCTTTCTCCCATGTCTGCCTGTCCGCCCTCTTGGCTCTGAGTCATTTTCAGAGTTTTGAACCTTTTCTTACTTCAGTGTTGATACATTTCTCGGTGGTGGTACATGTAATCCATTCAAACTCAGAGGATTGTGACTTCAAGGCTAGCCTGGGCTATATAGCAAGACCCTGTCTCAAAAAAATAATTAAATTAATATATTTCACTACTGTTAAGCTAACTCACATCACAACTGGCACCAAAGCACTTAACAGTGATACTTACCATCTGCCTGGTCCTGTGACTGCAGGATAGTTGGTTAAAGAGAGCTTTGGGGTGAACTGGAAACTTCCAAATGCAGTGACTGTAAAAGAACTATGAGCAGGATTTTTCTAGATGTAGGTGAAAGAAGAGCAGTGTAAGAGCCAAGAAGCCCCTGGGCAACAGAGGCTTCTAGAGGCCGTTAGCAAAAGGTGGGTACTGTGTCACTTTTATTTACTCTTTCTGATGAAAACTGTTGGTGGATTCTGAGGCTGAGAATCAGGAACATGGAGGCTCTTTTTTGGATGTTTTTTTTTTCTAACCACATTCTTTTTGTAACCACAAAGGAAAAAGGCAGACCAGTCCTCCCCTCGTGCCAGCCAATCAGGAGGACTCCTGCTTCCCTCCACCCTGCTGCTGCCACTCTGGGGCAAGGTCACAGCATCTGCGTCGGAAATCACAGGGACTTCTTCCTGCTGGCTCAGCTGGGAGGCCGAGGAGTGCTTTGCAAAGGCTGTTTATCAGAATTTTGGATAAGGGTGAAAACTGCCCCTCTTTTAACGCTCTCTGCCCCAGGCATATTGAGGGTTCTGTGTGAAACCTGAGTCGGGACAGGCCTTCTTCCGTGTGGTAGTGGCCAGCTGCCTGTGTGTGGCCACCATCTACACAGGCATTTTTGAGGGCGTCTCCGTTCAAGTGGGTTATGAACACTATGCCGAAGCCCGGGTAGCTAGCCTGCCCGCTTTCCTCGCCACGCCGTTCAACTCACTCATTAACCTGGCCTACATGCTCCTGGGGACATACCGGCTGCGGAGAAATGCCAGCGTCCCAGGACGCCCCGCAGAGCTGCAGAGGGCTCCATACCTGAAGCATGTCTTTGCCAGCATGGCCCTGGTCTACGGTCCTGTACAGTGGCTGCAGATCTGGACACAGACACGCTCCACTGCCATGCTTGACCAGTGGCTCACTTTACCCATCTTTGCCTGGCCAGTGCCTGGTGCCTCTCCTTAGACAGGGGCTGGCCACCCTGGTTGTTGCTCTGCATCGAGTGTCTGTCTCTGTCCAGTTTTGGCCTTGCCCTGCTGCACCTACAGGGGTCTGAGGTGGCACTGGGTGCTTATATTGTGGCGGCCATTGGGGAGCCCTGCACATCCACAGGCGGTACGGCAGCACCTCCTCAGCCACATGCCTTGGGTGTGCTCTCCTGCCTGGGCTTTGTGGTTCTCAAACTGTGTGACCACGCGCTCGCACAGTGGCGCCTTTCCAGCGCCTCACAGGCCACTTCTGGTCCAAGGTCTGTGATGTGCTCCAGTTCAACTTTGCATTTCTGTTTCTGACAAATTTAAACACTCACCCAAGACTCCATGCCAAGGAGAAGATGCACTAAGGTATGGGGAGAAGCTGCCTAGCCAGTGAGCCCCAACGCTGCAGTGGGCTATCTGGCTTCCATCGTCGGGTGAATTGTGCTCGCTGCGACTTACTCAGACAAAGCGAGACCTGGGTGCAGGGGACATGGGGCTTTACAGACTGTTCTTGTAACTTTTCTGTAGTTTAAAATATTTCAAAAATAAAATACCGGGGGAAATGACCCCAAGAATTCCACAATGCTCATGGTTGGAGAGAGCTCATTGTCTGCACTGTTTTCAGGGTGTTGGTTACAGGTGCACGCTGGTGACAGCTGGCCAGTGAGCGGGGCTAACACTGAGTGTTCCCAGAGGTGACTGTGTTCACACATGCCCAATAGACTGGTAAGAAATCACTTAACTCCCCGAGACACCTGGATTTATCCACTTTGACTAGCTGTAGGCAGGTCACGTGAAAGCCATGGCACCTCAGATCCTTTGTGGAATAAGACAGGACATACCTAGATGAAGAAATACAAATGTCAAAAGTTGAATTCTCAACAGAAAGTTGCGGGTGGGTCTACCCGCAGGCGTGGCTTAGATGTCTTTAGAGGATAGGGTTATCAGAGGGGTCTGTGTCTGTCACCATTGGAGAAGCCCAGAGTGTGAGATGACAGCTTTTGAACACACGAGCCGAGACCCTCTGGTTTGTGGGTCAGGGTGCTCTCTCCTTTGGGCAACAGTCCAGCTGGGGCTTGAGAGGTGCTGGGGGTGCTGCTTCTGCATTGTCCTCTGCAGACCCCTGGAGACCACTCCCCCCTCCACACATTCTCTTCCTGCCTGTTTCACCATCTTTCACCTGAAAGGCATTTGGTCTGTAAAGGGGGACTTTGTTTTGTTTTGTTTTGTTTTGTTTTTGAGACAAAGTCTCGCTCTGTAGCCCAGCTGCCCTTGAACTCACAATCCTGCCTCAGCCTCCTGAGTCCTGGGATTACAGGCATTCAGCAGCACAAAAGGGGCCTTTTGACGAAAGCTAACGTTGCCCACTCATTTAATTTAGGGTCTCTCCAGTTCTGGATCCCGGGGTCTTATTCCTGTGGCCTCAAATAAAGAATGGGATCTTCTTTAAGCTTTTCTTAGTCATTGGTAGGCAACGATGTGCGTTCTTCTGCATGGCTCCCCACAGACTAAATGGCAAGTGATCAAGTACAGGGGTGAGCCAGAGGAAAAGATGCCTTGTCCCTGCTGAATGGCCTCTGAGGACAGAATGCCCACAAGCCTGCTTACTGGAGTCTCATGGCTACCATGGGGCTGTTCCTATGATTACTGGGATGCTTTTGAAACTGGCTGCCTGGGCTGGCCGTTCCATCCTGACTGGGCACATCTCAAGTGAGTAGTGGGGTGGAGAGCCTCAGCCAAACTCACATATGAAGAACCCTCTGGAAACTCCAGCAAAGGACCCATGAACAGTGCCTCAATCAACCTCAGCATCTCCCTCGGGGGCCTGGTCCACAGGTCAGGACTGGAGCTCACCAGTGGCTGGAGAGCAGGTGTGCATTTGCTTAGGAAACAGCTTTGTTCCATTTGAAGTTCTGGTTCAAAGGCTCCAGATCCCTTAGAAGAGGAAGAAGGTAGCAGGCACCCCCAGGGAGGCTGCCTTACTTCAGAGGCAGAGGGGGCATGCTTCTTTGGGGACTCAGACGCAAGGGTTGGGGTGGGGAATGGGTACGTGGGTCTTTAGGGGGTTGAGCTTCTCATCTAGGATCCAAATGATCTCCTTTTGTTATTTCTCTGTCAGTAACCGATCCCTCACTGACAGAGTGGATCCACTGAGCAATGGGGAACCTTCTGGTTCTCATTCTGCTCCTGTGTCAGGCAGGGTCCCCGCAGGAAACAGGTGGCCTGCTCAGATTCGGGTGGCTCAGGGAGGTTTCATGGAGAACTGCTATGGCGGGGGGATACACACAAGGGAACCACAGGGGCCTTTACTACTCTGGGACCCTGAGGGGCAAACCCCATCCAAAAGGGGAAAGGACAGAGGCCTTAGGAAGCCCGACCCCTTTCCTCTCTCTAGGGTTATATGCAGACTCAATTGCATGAGACATGCTTCTACTGAAGAATTATTCCTTGTTCACCTGAAATTCAGATTTACCTTGCTGTCCTGTATTTTCTTCTTTTTTTTCATCTTTATTGTGCTGCGTGGGGTACATTGTGGCATTTACAAAGGTTCTTACAATGTATCAAATATATCGTACTGTCCTGTAATTTCATTTGCTAACTCCAGCAATCCTACAGTAAGCCAACTCGACCAACAGAATCTGGGTGAGGCTGAGCAGGAGGATCAAGAGGACCCCTGACAGGCTGTGGCCTGGAACCTTCTTCCCCCTTCTCTCTCTCTCTCTCTCATTTTTTGATCAGTGTTTCTCAAAGTGTGGCTGGCTTTTAGCCATGCAGCTTCCTTCCTGCCCAGGCAAATCCCACTTCTGGAGCGGGGGCCTCATAGTGCCTCGGCCCTGGCCTGGGGTTGGTGATGCCAGTGACCCCGGGACACTGGAGTAAAGGGGCTGGTCACTGGGCCTCTGCCTGTTGCTTGTCTGCCTCTGCTCCATGGCCCTCTGGTCCACAGCACCTCCACGGGGGGTCAGCTTTTCTCAGAGCAACTGGCTGCTGCTGGATTCCTTGTGGTTACTGTTCTCAGCCTTGCTGCTCCACGTGCCCACTGTGCAGCTGGGGAGCCAATGGTTGCCACATGGGGCCTCTCCCCGACCTTTGACCTAACGGTTTAGAGGTTCCTAAGCTGGGAGGGATCTCAGAAACCATCTGTGCCAGCCCCTCACTTCACAGAATAAAGAAACTGAAACTGGCTGAAAGTCACAACCTTCAGGGGCAGAAGCCTCTGAGCCCAAAGTTCTCTCCCTGGAAGCACAGAACTTTCTGGTACCGTGGCTGGGGCTTCTCTCTCCAAAGCAATGTCTTCTCAGCTAGGTGTGCTGACACACACCAGCATTTGGGATGCTGAGGCAGAAGCATCATAAGTTTGAGGTCAGCGTATGCTACATAGTGAGACCCTGGCTCAAAAACTAAAAAAACAAAAAAAGCGCTTTCCCGTTTTTGCTTTGACTGTGTTGATGACACAGGCTGATGGGGTTGGGGGAACAGGCAATCCAGAAAAGTAGAGAAGAATGCAAATGTCACCCACAGTCACTTGAGAGGACTGTCAGGATTCTGGTGACCCCACTGTCACACAAGTCTCGCCACACACAATCACATACACACATGCAATCCTATGTGCATTGGAGAACACACCTATGCTTCTTGATCTGGACACACTAAATGTTGTCACCTTCTTTCCTCTCCTTGCCCACCCGGGTGTCAAATTGACAGCTGTGTGCCCCGTTGCCCTTCAATTCATATGGCACATTCAGGAGTCTGTTACCACTGTCTCATGGGACCCTCGTTCCCATGGCAGTCTGTGGTCCTCACCCAATGCTGGAAGCAGTGCACATTGGCTTCTGTGCCTGGAGCAGGCCAGTCTGGGGAGGGAGGGGTGGGTCATGACTCACCAGCAACATCACACACTTTTCCTGTACCCACCCACCCACCTCTGCAAGGGTTGCTGCTCCTTTTCATACTGTGCCAATCTGAAGGGAAAAATAAGGTCTGATTGTAACTAACCAAACCCTCCTCTCTCTCTCCCTCTCCCTCTCTCCCTCTCTAGCTCTCTAGCTCTTGGTCTCTCTCTCATACACATATTCCTGTGCACATGTGCCCACGTGTCTGTTGCAAGTTGGAGTTTGTTTATATTTATTCCTTTTCCATTTGGGCGCTGTTTCTCTTATCAATTTGCTGCAGCCCCCCCCTCTTTTTTTTGGTGGGACTGGGGTTCAAACTTCATGCTTGCAAAGCAGACACTCTACCTCTTAAGCCACACCTCTAGTCCATTTTGCTTTGCTTTTGTTTTTGCTTTTTTTTGGGAGATGGAGTCTTGAGACCTATTTTCCTGGGCTGGCCTTGAACCATGATTCTTCTGATCTCAGCTTTCCAAGTACCTAGGATTACACGTGTTAGCCACCAGCACCTGGCTGCTGGAGCTCTATTTTTTTTTTTTGTGGTACTGGGGTTTGAACTCAGGGCCTCATACTTGCTAGGCAGGCACTGTACAAGTTGAGCCACTCCTCCAGCCAAGGAGCTCCTTTTACGTTATAGATGTTAAGTCTTTGCCTGTCATACAGAGGAAAAATGTGTTCCCTAATCTACTCTGTCATTTGACTTGGTGGGTATTTTTGTTTATTTGAGACAGAGTATCCCTATGTATCCCAGGCTGGCCTCCAATCATTGAGCCTTCTGCATTAGCTTCCTGAGTGCTTGGATTATAGACACGCACCACCACACTCAGCTGTATCTTAAGGTAAAATGGTTGAAGATTTACATGTACTCATATATGTTTTCCTTTTCCTTTTCTTTCTTTTTTTAACTTTTAATTTTTTTTTTTGCAGTATTGGAAATTGAACTCGGGGCCTTGTGCTTGCCAAGCAAGTGCTTTACCAGTTGAGCCATGCCCCCAGTCCTGCCTTTTTCATTGTAGCTTTTGGGCTTCTGGTCTTGCTTAAAATAACTTCTCTGTAGTATATATACACAATATAGAGTATTAGTCAGCCATAAAGAAGAATGAAATTGTGTTATGTGCAGGAAAATGGATGGAACTGGAGATCATCATGGTAAGTTAATTAAGTCAGACTGGAAAATACGAATATCACATGTCCTCTCTTATATGAGGAATCTAGACCTAAAAAATGAATGACAGGGCTGGGCACAGGTGGCTCATGCCTATAATCCTAACTGGTCAGGAGGCAGAGATCAGGAGGATCATGGTTAAAAGCCAGCCCAGGCAAACAGGTCTGTGAGACCCTATTTTTTTCATTTATTCATTTATTCATACGTGCATACATTGTTTGGGCCATTTCCATTTTGTTGTTGTTGCGGTACTGGGGCTTGAACTCAGGGCCTACACCTTGAGCCACTCTAGCAGCCCTTTTCGTGTTAGGTATGTTCAAGATAGGGTCTCCAGTACCGCAAAAAAAATTGAGTGCCGCTTTCCTCTAGCGGTCATTTTTTACAGGGGAAAGGAAATGCCAGCGCCATGTATAAGGCGTTTCATGGGAGCCTGGGAGAACA